CGCACCGGTTCTTCACCTACCCGATTTTGACCGCCCTTTTATCCTTACCACCGACGCGTCAAACTTCGCTGTAGGAGCAGTGCTTTCTCAGGTTTTCCCTTCTCCTGATTCCTCTCATCCTCGTATCCCTCGCTTCCCACCACCTACCCCTACCACTGCTTCCCGACTGACGGCTACTCGTCCAGCTACTGACGAGCCTTCTATTGACTATTCTCCTACCATCGCCGAGGACAGCACTGTCGAGTCTCGCTCAGGTGATTGTCCGATAGCCTTCTACTCCCGTCAGCTCCTGCCCGCCGAGATAAACTACACTGCTGATGAACGTGAGGTTCTCGCACTAGTTTATGCCGCTCGACATTGGCGTCACTACCTGCACGGGGCACCATTCACGGTGCGCACGGACAACTCTGTTGTCCAGGCTTTTCTGACAAAGCCGAAGCTCACTCCTCGACAGRCTCRMYGGTGGHGYRACCTATCCGAGTTTAGTTTCACCACTGAGCACATCAAGGGTGAGACTAATCGGGTCGCAGATGCCCTCTCCCGGCGCCCTGACCACGACCAGGAGCACATCCAGCTCTCTTCCATCTCGGTCACCACCGTCCACCACTCGGTGATCGACGAGTTTCGCACTCAGTACCGCCACTGCCCCGACTATCGCGACATCCACGCGACCCTTCGGAGTGGCAAGACCGYCCCGAACTACTCTCTCGRGGACAACGGTCTTGTGTACTGGCACGGTTCACAGGGTACCAGAGAGCCCCGTATTTGCGTTCCCTCCACTGGACAGCTACGTGTCCGAGCAGTAGCAGAGTTCCATGACCAGGCAGCTGCCGGTCATATGGGCTTCCACAARACGTTGGCTCGTGTGAGCCGCCTRTACGTCTGGCCGAAGCGCAAGGACTTTGTGAAGGACTACGTCGCAGAGTGTCCCACCTGTCAGGAGGTGAACAGTGCGAACCACCTACCTTATGGTTTGCTCCAGCCTCTTCCTATCCTTGAGGGTCGTTGGCAGTCCATCTCGATGGACTTTATCGGTCCTCTTCGACCTCCGACCCCCCGCGGTCATGATGCTATCCTCGTCGTCGTCGACCGCTTTACGAAGCGTGCACGCTTTGTTCCGTGCCACTATGCCATCAGTGCACGTGAGGTCGCCGACATCGTATTTGACCGAGTCGTGCGAGACCACGGCTTACCTTTGAGCATCATATCTGACCGTGACCCGCGCTTTACCAGCCGATTCTGGCGACGGCTCCACGAGGTGTACGGCACTCAGCTCCGCTTCTCCTAGTCTTACCATCCTCCGAATGATGGTCAGACCGAGATCACGAACAGGACTCTCGGGGATATTCTCCGAAAGATTGTTCGTGACGACCAGCAGTGGGATCTCCATCTTGCCCACGCGGAGATAGCCTACAACCACGCCGTCTCGCCAGCCACGGGGATGTCGCCTTACTATTGCGACCTCGGCTATCACCCGCGTGTTCCCGCGGACTTCCTTCGACCGTCCCAGATGCACCCCGACACGAGTTATCCCGCGCTGGATTATTGGGTTGCACACATGACGTCGATTATGAAGTCCGCACATGACCACATAGCCGCTTCCCAGACTCGCATGGCAGCACGTGCGAACCGATCGAGGATGGATCACCCATTCAAGGTCGGTGATGATGTGCTTATCGACGCCCGCCACTTACA